GGTCTGTGCTCCTGACACCCCCACAGCATCTGACACCTGCTTGGGTCATGTGCCTTGTGATGGAGGCATTGGTGCTTGAGGATCTTAGTTCCTATAGATAGGTTTATGGCTGTAAATCCTGTCTACCCACACCTCCAGCTCTTGGCTTGTGTGAGCCAGATTTCTGATCTTGTGGTGCCTCCTTTCTGTTTTTTTCTATCCTTATCCTCCATCAGCTGTAGGTTCTGGAGGGAAGGAAATCTTTATCTTATTACTTTATGCACTTTTTTTTTCTTATTTGTATGGTTGTGAACTGTTTTGGTACTATAAAATGTAACAACTTGCAGAAGTAAAAAGCAAGGTGAAAATTTAGAGGCAAAAAACAGCAGGAAGAGTTAGCAGAAATGTGTCTTCTTTGACCTACTCGGTACTAAGAATGTAACACTTTCATAATAGGAAAACTAGTTTCACCTTTATTCAAAAACAAAAATAATATTAAAATTCATAGAAATAATGCGCAGAAGCATATATTTGCTAAGTAGTTCAGGACTGTTGGTTCTTAGTCTTATTTATTAGAAAGTATCTGCACAGAGAGTAATTCACCGGCAATATCCCCCCCAAAGAGACTAGTTTGACAAACGGGTGCTGATACTGGTCACTATGATTACTGAAACCCTGGTGATGTGCTTGCTGGAATTGGGCCGTGTTTAGAAATTATCATTGTGAATGGAATGCTGCCGCCTCATGGTGAAATGTGTTAACTGCTGCCCAAATCTGCAATTTGGAGAAAAGTTTTAGGCACATGTCTGAATATTCGTTTGCCCGTCTTACAAACATTTGCTGAATTGTGCTAAAAAACAAGAGACCCACATCCACACTGATTCTCCAGCAAAACAGGTGCCTTTTGCCCTACTTCTTCTTCCTAGGTCACTCACTTCCAAATTAGCACCTTCTATTAGAAGAACCTAAATCACATATGGAATCCCAGCTTCAGGCATGTGCCAGTTATCAGCTGTTACCTTTCAGCTCCAAATCCATCCCCCCCAACACAGTGCTAAGATCATTACAAGAACTGGAGCTTTTCTGCTTTGCAGTCATTTTGATATTAAGCTTTGCCAGTAGAGGGCGCTGGAGGGCTATTGTAGAACAGAAGGGACGTTTCCTGATTCCAGGTGAGATTTTTGCTTTTGCTTCCTCCAAGGGTGTGGTGGGTCAGCAGAGCCGCAGGTAAGAAGCAGCTCTCCGGTGCTCTTCCCCCGTCGTGCAAACCCTGAGAACATAGCTGCGGTCCCTGGTGAGGAATCCAGAGCAGAGTTTCAACTCCCATCGTGCACCTGATTTCACACCAACATTTATGGGATGCCATAAAATTAGTACTTGCAGGGAAGTTTATGGTTTTGAAACAATAAAAACTGAAAAGTATTAAATTTGAGAAACTAACGAAAGAGCAATAAAGCAAATTCAGAGAAGAAAGGGAATTACATAGACAAAGGCAGGCTCTCCAAGGGCCTTTCTCACACATCCCTGTGGCTTTCAAGTGTCTCCTCCCACATCCCCCAAGTCCCTGGTACAAGTCCAAGGCCCAGAAGCAAGCACAGCTTCTTCACATGTCTCTGCCCCATGTGCCTCCTCCAGGTCAGGCCTTCTCTCTCTTCTCCTCCCAGTTCAGCTCCACCCTTCCCAGAGTGGGGCAGGGGACCTGGAAGCTTCTCTTTCCCTGGGGGTTACCTTGTTATAATGCCTTTATGTATCTCTCTACTCTTGCCTCTATACACAATTTGGGCTCCAAGATGATTACATTGAGTTCAAAAAAGTTTTTTCTCTCATGTTCCCTCAAGATTATCAGTTAACAGTCACTTCTTGCTTGGGGGAAGGACAGAAAAGGGAGCTAACTCTTAATCTGTGTTTTTCTGAGCTGGTAAACATTGAGAACTCAGATAACAAAGTTTCCCAGATAACAGAATTAAATTTATACGATTTTGAAGAAAGGATTTAGGAGTTCTTCTAAACGCAGAGCTTTGAGGGCTTAAATGCTTTCACACAGTCTTTTGGCTTTGTTGGTTTTCATCATTCCAGGTAAATGAGATGTGACTATTTTTTTCCACTGTTCAGATAGTGATAATTTAAAATCATTCCAACAAATTTCATACTCTTACATTAATCTTGCTCCCCTCGGCAGTGTATTTCAGTCAGTCTGCCTGTTCTGTTCCCTACTCTGTATCTGGTGAATCCTCTCACCCCCCATATCGCTGACCTGTAGACCAGCTCTTGTATGCATAAATAAATAAATCTTAAAAAAAAATCTTGAAGGCAATTTCATCAGTCCATTTGCTGAAAATCCTACTTGCTCATATATTGGAGTTAAATATTTCTCAACTCTTCCAGATGCTTAAAATGTTCCACTTAAGTGCTTGCACAAATTATTTTATTTAACTACCCTATTAACTCTACAAGGTAGTTACAACAAGTGTATATTATACCACATTTTCTTTCATGTTCTCAGGAAAGAGAATATGGTGAATCCCCAGCTTCCTGGCTGGGATTGAATTCATGTTGGAGTGGCTGGGGATAACTAGATAGAGCTGTGTCTTTAACCCCTGCGCCACCAGGGAGGCCCCTACTTTTTCTTTCTTTCTTTCTTTTTTTTTTTTAAAGGAGCATTAAAAGAATTGACTGAAAAGGGTAAACACTTCACCTGGGATTATAGTGAAGGGAATCCTGTTTTGCAAGTCTGTTCATTCCATCTAACCATCAAAGTTGACAGTGAATCTTTTAAGTATTTCCTGAAGCTGGTTCTGAAGATAATTCTAAAATTGCATTGAATGGTGGTTACATTGGGCAGGTATATAGTTTCCCAGGGGAGAACAGATTTTAAGATAAAAGCCATATTAAGGGCCTCCCTGGTGGCACAGGGGGTAAAGTCTCAGCACTACCAAGCTATCGCCAGCCTCTGCAGCACTGTAACAGGGTGGTCCCAGGAAAGGGGGAGGTTCCCTGCCCCACCCAAGGGAGGTGGAGCTGAGCAGGAAGAGGAGAAGCTGCAGAAGAGACTGAGGAAGGAAGCAGGATGGAGCCAGGAGACCTGGAGGAGGCACATGGAGCCTAGAGACACGTGAAGAAACTGCACTTGTCTTTTGGTCGTGGACTGGGTGACACAGATGTGGGTGAGACCCGTGGGGAGGTGACCATGGCAGCTTTTATCTTGATGTTGATTTTGCTCTTTTCCTTCCGGGCTTGTCTGGTTGTTTGTGACCCTTTTCTGTGGGTCCCCACTGGAAGATGCTTTAGACTTGTGGCAGGCCTTGGGGCCTTGCTCTGGGCCGATCCCATATGGATGGACTTTTACCCACGAGGGGATGGGTGACTTTGGGTGCTTCATTTAGAAACTAGACTCTTTGCCTTACCTGTGTTGTTTCCTAGTTTAATTAAAGTTCCTTCCCATTAAAGTCTCCTATGTTTTGTGTTGATGCGGCGGATGGCAGAACCCATTTAGAATAGGCAGGTTTGCGGGGTTTGGGCTGACCCTCTCCCTGTCCTATAACAGCACGAGTTGGATACCTGCTGGCCGGGGAGCTACCCAAATGGTGCAGCCAACCTCTCCTGTCTCGCCTGCTGCTCCCCTCAGCAGTGGATTTCAGTGGATCCACCTGTTTTGTTTCCCACTCTGTCTCTGATGAATCCTCTCACCCCCAGCACCTCTGGCCTGTACCCCAGTTCTTGTATGCATAAATAAATCTTTAAAATAAAAAATCATAGGGCCTCCCCTGGTGGCGCAGGCTGTTGAGCGCCACGCTGTGAAGCTGTCCGCAGCCTCTGGAGCGTGGGTTCAATCCCCTCCGGCCCGAGAGAATGCCACATGGCGAAGCAGACCTCTCCTGTCTCGCCCACTGTTCCCCTCAGCAGTGTATTTTGTCAGTCTGCCTGTTCTGTTCCCCGCTCTGGTTCTGGTGAATTCTCTCACCTTCCTGCGCTTCTGATTGTACCCAGTGCTTGTATAAATAAATAAATAAATCTTTAAAATAAAAAATCATATTAAGTAGAGAATATTGGTGAAAAAGTTTTCCCCAAATAAGATAAGAGGCACCAGAAACAGCCCTCCTAAAAACAGCCTGGTGTCAAAGCAGCGGTTCTATCTCAAGATTCTTATCATACTTTCTCATGTTCTTAACTTTTATCTTCCCCTCCCTTGCCCCTAGGCTCTCTAGAAACAGCGACTAGATCTAGTTCACTTGGGAATACCCGACACCAAGCTTATACCAGACAGTCGACATAATGCACACTGAATGAATAAGTGAACTTCAGTGTTGTCCCGTTAGCGCCAAGATTTCCACTTTCAAATCATATGGTTAGGGCACCGGAGAGGAAATGAGCCCCAAACAACATCTCTTCTTGGTGCTGTGAAAACATGATCTCCCAATGATTGCATTTACTTCAATTTTTTTAAGGTATTCCTTTTTTTTTAAGATTTATTTATGCATACAAGAGCTGGGGGGAGGGTACAGGCCAGAGATGCGGGAGGGTGAGAGGACTCCCCAGAGACAAAGAGGGGAGCAGAACAGGCAGACTGACTAAAACACACTGCTGAGGGGAGCAGCAGCAGGCGAGCCCGGAGCGGTCTGCTTCACCATGTGGGTAGCTCCCTGCCCGGCCTGGGATCGAACTCGTGCTCTAGAGGCTGCAGACAGCTTCACAGTGCAGCGCTTAACCCCTTGCTTCCCCAGGGAGCCCCCACGAAAACATCCATGCCACCTGGCGCTGCGGGCGGCCGGCGCCCTGGCAGGGCGGGGTGCAGGCGTGCGGGCCCCGGCCCGGCCCGGGGCACCTGCCGCGCACGCGCAGACGCGGGGCGCGCGCCTGCCGTGCGCCCCCCCGGCCTCCAGGTGGCGCTGGCGGCCCCCGGCCGCCGCTGTCTCTCGCCGGGCGCGACCGGGGCGGCGCCGGCCGCCGGGCGGGCCGCGGGTCCGCCTCCGCCGCGCCGAGGGCGTGGGCTCGGGCTCCCTCCCGGAAGCGGCGGGCGCGGCGCGCAGCCCAGCGGGCGCCGTCCCGGGGCGGCGATGAGCGGCGGCCGCGGCTCTGACCTGACGCGGCGGCCGGGCCGGGGCCGCTGAGGCGGCTCGTTGGGCGGCGGCGCTGGCGCGGCGGGGCGGGGCGCGGCGGCGGGGTGATGCTGCTCAAGCTCCTGCAGAGACAGACCTATACCTGCCTGTCCCACAGGTATGGGCTCTACGTGTGTTTCGTGGGCGTCGTGGTCACCATCGTCTCCGCTTTCCAGTTCGGAGAGGTGAGTAGCGGCGGCGCAGCCCCGGCCGGGCGCCCGGAACCCCACTAGCCCGCGGCGCCCCCAGACCCGGCGCGCCCCATCTCCCTGCAGCTTGGGGGGGCCAGCCCCGGAGCCTGCCTGCTCCCGGGGCGCCGAGAGCTCAGCTCCCCTCCCCGGGTCGGTTTTAGCAGCGGGGTGCAAAGGGCTCGTCCTCCCCAGGGTTTGGGGGAGCAAGCAGTGGGGGGGTCGTTCTGCCCAGGTGCCTTCTACCGGGTCCCCGAGTCACCTGCCTTGCTCCCCCGGGCCTTGTCCTCCCCCCAAGTCCCCCCACCCCCGCCCGAGACCCAGAGTCGGGGTTCTTTCGCGTTCCTGAACTCCCCCAGGGCCTCGTTGCTTGGCCCTGCTACTGCTTTCTTCCTCGCTGCCACATTGCTCATCTTTCTAATCTAAAGACATTATTGGCTTCTTAATCCCATTTCTTCAGGCATCTCAAAAACTTGTGCAAGGAGCGAGTGTTTCTTTGCACCTGAATTTTCAGTGAAAGTGGCCCCACAGTGAAAGTACATACGTGTGAAAGGGGATTTTGTAGATCTAGAGATAGATGTTTTTTTGCACTTTTGCTGTGTTGGTTGGGGCAACTGTACAACAGCAGGTTCCCCAGAGAGATTCTGCTGGTGGAAGGGGCACGCTGATTTGACAGATTACACGAGCTCCAAGTGCTTTTCTCTATCCCGGGATCAGCTGAGACCAGGGCCCCTCCACGTGATCAGGACTGGGTAACTGTCTTGGCCTCCAGTGCCCGACCTCTGGGGAGCAAGACAAGCCCTTGGGTCATAGGATATGCTAATATCTTGGACTCCAGATCACTCAAGCCAGGCCCTTCTTGATATGCTCTTAGTTAATGTGCAATGAAGTTGTTCAGTTAGAGGTAAAAAATCTTCAGAAGGTGCAAGCAACAGGTTTGGGAGGTGGAAAACACTCAGGTTTTGGTTATGTACCTTCAACATTTTCAGTGAGTTTTCGTTTCAGATCAAATAAATTAATTAATCAAATCAAATTAATTCATTATTGACATATTGTGTGTGTAATTGTTTAAATGGAATTAACATTACATTATAATATGTGAGTTTCAGGTGTGCATCATAAATTAACATCTGTGAATACTGCAATAAGTTCCCCATTAAAAATCCAAGTCTCTCCTTCACCATATATTTGACTCCTTTTACCTATCCCTTTCTTCTTCCTTCCCTTCTGATGACCCCTGCTTTGTTTCTATATTTTAAAAGATTGTTTTCATTTTATTCAGTGCATGTTTGTGTTATGTGCCACCGTGGAAGTGAAATTATAAGGTGTTTGTCTTTGTCATCTGACTTATTTCACAAGCATAATACCCTCTACCTCTATCCAGTTGGAGAATATCACTTAAAAATACACTGTAGCGGAACCTCCCTGGTAGCCCCAGGGGTTAAACAGGGCACTATGAAGCAATCAGCAGTCTCTGCAGCATGAGTTCCATCCCCGACCAGCCAGAGAGAAACCCACATGGTAAAGCAGACCTCTCCTGTCTCGCCCACTGCTCCCCTCAGCAGTGTGTTTCAGTCAGTCTGCCTGTTCTGTTCCCCACTCTGTCTCTGGTGAATCTGCTCATCCCCCACACCTCTGGCCTGTACCCCAGCTCTTGTATGCATAAATAAATAAATCTTAAAAAAAAATAAAAGACATCTCTTTAAAAAAAAATACACTGTAGCAACTGGGGGAAAAATTACCTCCTTGTTTTAATTCCCCCTCCCCTTTTCTTGGTAGGATGTTGTAGCCGGTATTAAAATAAACAGAACGGTTTTTAGAAATGCCACGGAAACATTCGGTTTATATCTGTCCCCGGGCTGGATTATGACGCTCATAAAGAGAGTGCTGTCTGTTTACTGTACCCCTGGCCTAAGCATGGTGCCAGGTACTGCCACAGCATGCAGTCTAAATATTTGTTTAGTGAACGAATTAGATGGCAAGATTTCCAAGTGTATACTTGGAGTTCTAGGGACTAAAAAAATTCAGTCTTCAAGGAGTGAGAAAGTACTTATCTAATAACATACCACCAGCTGTTCTATCTTTCGTGTGTTACGACTTAATACAGTGAATGCATGCATGGTGAAGTGCCTTACTGTTGGTGGAAGAGTTCTTCAGACCCCTATTCATTAATTTAAGGTAGCTGTTTATTAACTACTCTCAGTGTGAAGGTGACTTAAAAGGCATCAGTTATTAGAAGTTTTCATTCTGTATGTTCTATGTCTGGTTATTTATTTACCAGAAGAAAGACATTGTCTCAGTTTTGAAATGGCCACAGATCTTAAAGTTCGGTACGGATGAAGGAAATCAGAGGCACAGAGGTATGGAGCTGGCTTCATACCATTAATAGATTGTCTGTGGTTAACTTGTACAGCACAGTGGAAAAGGAGCTGCAGGATTAGGCAAATCTGGGTTTGAATGCTGGTGCCCCCACAGATGATCATGATAATAGGTAATATGTAGGACCCACGTGCCAGCTACTGAACTACCTTACCTATGTTAACCTAATTTAATACTTATAATATCCCTGAGATGATTACTATTCTTATACTCATTTTACCAGTGACAAAACTGAGACATTTGACACATTAAGCCATCAGAGCTGTATTAGCTGAGCAGAGCTTCAGACCCAGGCAATGTTTGATTCCAGAGCGTACCCTAAGCATATCTCTATGGCCTCTTAAACAGCCCAAGCCATCCCTTGTATGGTCTTTGAAAGGACACTTAGCTTCTTTGAACCTCAGCTCCTCATTTTTAAAATGAAGGCAAGAATACCTTCCTTGCAGGGTTGATTTTGAAAATTAAAAAGATCTGTATGTGTTGGATAGTGGGTGTGGGGTGTTAACATACATCTGAAGAGGTGTGAACCTATATCCCTAAATCATACAGCGTTGTAAGTCAGCGTTGCGCTATTAAAAAAAATACACACAGAGTTTTAAAAAAAGGTCTGTATGTCAAGTACCTCACTCTGTACCTGGCATATAACAGACTCACCAAATAGTAGTAGCTGCTGCTACTATTATTATTATTATCAACTATTTCATGTCCTTAATTCTTACCTTGAAATAAGCTTTTGAAATAGACTACTCCCATCATTCAGTTAATATTATCAACTAGTTAATAGCTTCACTATTGTAAAATCCTTTTATCATTGTGGTTTTGTGTGTGTGTGTGTGTGTGTGTGTAGAAGAACTGGGGTGTAGGCCAGATGTGTGGGGAATGAGAGGACTCACCAGAGACAGAGTGGGGAGCAGAACATTGGATTTACTGAAATACACTGCTGAGGGGAGCAGCAGGCAAGACAGGAGAGGTCTGCTGTACCATATGGGGGTTAGCTCCCTGGCAGGGGATTGAATTCAGGCCCTAGCTGTGATAGCGTTGAGGCTTAACTCCTAGGCCACCAGGGAGGCCCTTATTTATCATTGTTAACTGTGACTTCATTAATATCTTTTTTCCCTTTCTTAACATAAGTGGTATTGTCTGCTACTTTTTATTTTTTATTTTTTTAATTTTTTTAAAGATTTATTTATACAAGAACCAGGGTACAGGCCAGATGGTGTGGGAGGGTGAGAAGACCCACCAGAGACAATGGGGAACAGAACAGGCAGACTGACTGAAATACGCTGCTGAGGGGAGCAGCGGGCAAGACAGGAGAGATCCGCCACGCCATGTGGGTTGCTCCGTGACTGGCGGGGATCGAACCGGCACCACAGAGGCTGCAGACGGCTCCACAACACTGTGCTCAACCTCCTGCACCACCAGGGAGGCTCTGTCTGCTACTTTTTAATAAGGCATTATTTGTACACATCAAATTTTGAAAAAGAAAAGTAGAACTGACAAAGTGTTAAAATATTATTTTTCCCCTTAAGTTGAACCAAGTGTTTCCTGGAGGCTGCCTTGGGAACTCTGGTAAAGTAGAACTGGACTTAAATCTGAAAGGGAGGCCCCTCAGGATGTGGACTATTGGCTGTGGGAGTGCATTGAAGACAACAGATGGTAAAGTGCATCTCTTGTAAACTAGGTGACTAGATATGTGGCTTCTGGAAGCTTCAGTTTCCACATCTATAAATGAAGGTATGAGAAGGACTATGCTTTTAAGGTCATTTTTAACTTAGTAGCTTTGATTTAAATATTGGTTCTCTGCTAATTGATACTGTGTAGAATTTAAAGCTTGCACTTTTCAAGTAAAAATTTATTATTTTAGGGCCATTATTATTTAGTCAAACTAGTTGTATATGATTCTACAATCCCTTATCTAAGACTACTGAATTATCTTATAATTAATTGCATCTTTACAGTGAAATGTATGAGTATTTATACTCAGGAAGATAAACACTCTGAATAGCTTCAGGTCAATTTAGGTCAAGTGTTGCTGCCAAATAAGGTACAGCAAGAGCTTGTCAAGAACTTTTTGGATTTAGGGATTGTGTATAGAGGGATTGTGTGTGTATGTGTGTGTGTGGGGGGGGGGAGTTGTGCCTGTGTGTTTATATAAAATATATCAGTTCCTTTTCTACATAGAAACATATAAATACTACCATATTAATTGCCAGGAGTAAATCAGGTTCAGATGGCAATTATCCAACTGTCCCCTGGCCTCTCTGCTCCCTTTTGCTTGGCTGCCTTCTTGTCACTGTTTTGGATTAGTGAGATATTATTGTTCAGTGAGGGAGAAGATTAAAAACTGGGTACAGTTTAAGTTATGCTCAGCCTGGCTGGCCCTATTTTAAGAAAGAAACAGTATCTTTTTTTTTTTGAAGATTTATTTTTATTTATTTATGCATACAAGAACTGTGGTATAGGCCAGAGGTGCAGGGGGTGAGAGGATCCATCAGAGACAGAATGGGGAGCAGAACAGGCAGATCTACTGAAATAAACTGCTGAGGGGAGCCTCGGGCAAGACAGGAGAGGTCTGCTGTGCCCTACATGGGTCAGCTCCCTGGCTGGGGATCAAACTC